GTTTGGATTTTTTGAGTCTGGTTAATGGCTGTGTGTGGGAACAGTAAAGTCTGACTTCTTATTTCTGAAAAACTTTAGAGATTAGAAGAGAAAAGTGACTTAAAGCGAAGAAGGTGTGTGCAGGTGATTCATATGTGAGTTAAGTGGTGTTCGTGTGTATCCACTCACTAAACATGTTGGGATCGTCACTCGTTCTTTGACCCCAGGCTCCATGCATGAAGCTTACTTTCACACAGAGCAGAACATGCCATCGAGCAGATTCTGAGTCGTCGTCACCCTGTATGGCAGAGGACAAGTGCTCCAAAGGGTGTCCAAGGCTATAAATGCGCTCAGAAACAGATTGTCTCAGCTTTCTCCCATGGAGTGAAGGGTGGGGTCCAAGCCACCCATCTTTTGATTAGCAGTGCACTTCCAGGGTTCCATTCAGAGTCTAAGGAGAGGGCCCCTGGTGGTCCAGGTGTGGCTCTGCTAACAGCAAAGTCAATGACCGGACAGTATTTACCAACAACCAATTAAAGACTCAAACTGAACAGTGATAATATATTGTGACTGATTTATTCCATACAAAGATTACACAGAAAAGCCAGTGATCAACTTCAATGACTCTTTGAGGGCAAAGCAGACAATTCCTATGTCCGAAGAAAGATCTTGAACTGCGGGGTATGCTTGGGAACAAAGGCGTTGAGCTCCTGGCCAATAAAAGTTGCAAAGAGATGAGATCAGTCAGCTAGAGCGGTGAGAGTACCAGGCTTCAGACCATGTGTCGTGGACCCTGTGCTGAGTCACATGACAACCGTGACACTGAAGAGATGTGTGTGCACACACATGCTGAAAACATTTCACAACAAAACTGTATTTCCAGTCAATAGGACGCCAACAATGACAAGAGCATAAATCGGGTGAGGTGATGGTACACTCAGAGTAGCCTGCGATGGGTTGATATAAGGAGACTTCAAAAAGTTTGTGAAAAACTTCCATTATCTTTCAATTCCACTTTTTCCAAGAATGTTTGAAGCCTCCTTGTGTGTTTTGTCTTTGTGCACTGACCACATATATGTGATTTACGAGGAGCCTCGTGTCACAGGTTATGACTGGAAAGGTCACCATTCAATCCCCCAGCTGTCCACAGGAGAAAGACCCTTCCATGAAGATCACAACCTTGGATCCCCAGTGGGGTAGTTGCTCCCTGCCCTGTAGGATCAATACCTGTGATAGAACAATTCCTCCCTGCTATGAGTCATAATCAACTTGAAGGCAAGGCCTTTGGTGTTTGTTTGTTATATAGTGTATGCCTTACCTATTGTGAATTACTTTTTTTACTAGTGTAGATGATTTAGAATTGAGTATACTTCCTTGCAAGGAGCTCTGGTAGCGTAGTGGTTACATATCGGGCTGCTAACCTTAAGGTTAGCAGTTCGAAACTACCAGCCGTAAGGACAAAGGTGAGGCTTTCTGCTCCCATAAAGATTTACAGCCTCGGAAACCCTGTGCAGGGTCACTATGAGTCGGAATTGACGCCACAGTACTTAACAACAACAATATGTTACTTCCTTGCAAGTAAATCAGAATTGTGGCGCTGTCTATTAATGTGCTGGACTGCAAAATCAGTTTGAGCTGCAAGGTCAGTGGTTTAAGCTCACCAGCCTCTCCTCCAAAACCCTATACAGGGTTGCTATGGGTTGGAATCTACCCAACGACATTTAACAGCAACAGTTACTACCTTAAACAGAAATAAACTAATAAAATGTAGTGTTTTTGCATTTTGCTCTTTGTATTTTATCAGGAGGAAGGGGCTTGATGGACAGACATAATCATTGATTTGCTTTACTGGGCATAGTTTTTGAATCTTCTGAAGAAAAACTGAATTTCTCCACTTTGTCATTTCTGCGTCCTAACTTTTTAGTATGGTATGTTGTTGTTGTTGTTGTTAAGTGCCTTTGAGTCAGATAGCGAACCTGTATAGGGTTTCAGAGGCTTTTTAAATCTTTTTGTGAGCAGAAAGCCTCCTCTTTCTCCCATAGAGTGGCTGGTGGGGTCGAACCTAGACCCTGTGGTTTGCAATCCAGTGTTTGGCCTATTTAACCACTACACTCCCTATCTTGGTTATAACTTGGCTTTACTCAAATTACACTAAAAGGATTTTAAATATTGATGATAACAACATAGTTACAATCATACCGAACACGCTAGCGTAGAGTGACAACACTGGCTGCATTGTCTAGTTCTCTTGTGACTTGACTTTTAGAGTGTTCTTTGTTTCCTGTGGACCCCTTTCAAAGGGAATGCTATTTATTCTCATGTGATCAGTATTCTGCATTTAGTAACATTTTCACACCATGAGCTTCCTCAAGTGCATGAGCATGTAGTAAACGGGGCAGCATGCAGAGAATGCTCCCCTGTCTTGGTTTTCCGGAGCAGGACTCGGGCAACAGCACTGAGTACCACTGTAGGTGGGCCTTGGGTGTTACTTTAGAACTTAGTCAAGTCTTTAAGTTTTATGGCACTGTAGAGTTTTCTCAGGAAACACACAGCCCCGTTTTCAGTGGAAGGCGTGCGGGTAGTTTGCCGTCTCCGCTTGTTAACTTCTTGATGAATGGTTCGAAGGCGAGGCCATGCTCACAGTCCAACAAGCCTCCTGAAGACGGATGATCTCAGATGAATTCTCTTCACAATCAGGCTTTGATTTGCTGGGTGTTAAACCAATTCTGTCTAAGGACAGTGTTTACAAGCCCTGTAATGAGACAGCCCTTGGAGACCTTACCTCTTTTTGCCTGTAATTTTGATAAATGAAACTCTAATTCATAAAGGATATTGTGATTGAAAAGCACCTTTGGAGCTCATGCACTTTAATTTAGATAAATGTGGACGCAGGAAACCAGGAACTGTACTGAGCTGTGCACTGTTACAGGGGAAAGGAGAGATGGGGCACCTTCAGGGCCGCTTCCTGGGCAGTGTTCCCTTTTGAGATGTGACGTTTTTACTGCTCTAAGGCTCGGGGTAAACCAGAAAGCCCAGCTCACACTTGAAAGGGCAGGTTTGTATTTCAGTAGCACACTGGGTCCCCCACTGACAAGGCAGATGGCTCAGGTTGTCAACCAAGGAAAGCCTGGCCAAGCCACCTGAAAGGACCATGTTCCCTTTCCTGTACAGTGCCGTGCAAAGCACAGCATGGAGACTTCCCTGGGGGAGACAGGCGGGCTGGCAGTCCATGAGGAGGCCTGCTGTCATCGTGGTTAAGCACCCAGAGGCTCCCCAGGAGCAAGACCTGGGGCCGCTGTGAGTCCAGTCAACTTGCTGGCTCCCAATGACACTAATCTTGCATGTGTCAGTTAGGACGACACTTCACAACCACAAGTGACACCTGGTGGCACAGAGGTTAAGCGTCGGCCTGATCACCACAAGATCCCCAGTTCGAACTCACCAGCACTCCGGAAGGAGAGTGATGAGGCCAGCTGCTTCCTATGATTCCCAGCCTGGGAGAGACCCTGTGGGCAGTTCCAGCCTGCCTGTGGGGTCACTGTGAGCCGGAATGGACTCACTGGCTGTGGACTTGGTTTTAAGAGGGCGTCTAGGCTAGTGGGCAGAAACTCACGCAAACAGACAATTAGTAATTACACCCCCCCACTGCCTACCACTGTGTTTCTGGGTGCACAGATCTGCCTGAGGACCGCAGAGGAGGGACGGCGGTTCCTCAGGGGTTCCTCAGGGGTTAACAGCACCAAGGGCTCAGCTAGGAGAGGCCACCTGAGAGCACCATCCAACCGAGAAAGCAGGGATGGGCCGCACAGACTGCACAGGTCCGGGGAGACCCTTGCTCAGCCACGCCGAAGACATTGGATTCTGTCACATGAGTGTTGGTGGGGAGGCGTCTACATAGGTGTGGGGTTGATACGGAATTACTGGGGCCCTCTAGATTAAAGCCAGGACATCTTGAACTCTGTCGCAGCCCAAGAGGAACCCTAGTGAGCTGAGCGGGTGGGCAGAAGACAAAGAGGAGGGGCCAGGAGACCCATTGACTCAGGGAAATACCTCCTAGCATGAAGGTGGAGGAGAGACTCAGTCATTGGGTTTGCCTCTTTCATTCTCAAATGCTGCAAGTTCTGAGCTGCTCAGAGTAAACGCTGACCTGAGGAGCCGGCACATCAGCAGAATACAGATAGCCAGTGAGCCGGCTCAATAGCACCAAGAAATGCAATTTAAATATAGTTGTGGAGCAGTCTGTAATGGGTGCTCAATGTTTATTCCAGAAGTAAGAACCACGGGGGAGGAGAGAGCAGTGTGTGGGGGGGAGGACACACATACAGCCCATAATTCCCCAGCTCCCATGTCGCGTGGGTTTATGATGCTACTGGCCACGTCTGGAGTAGTCCTTAGATGTGTATCTGGCGTGCTACCGCAGACTGGGGAACTGTGTACTGGCCTTCTGTACTCTTCCCCAGGCACACTAGGGTGACGGTCGGGATCCCTCTACAACACTGGTCCTTCACGTGGTTCTTCCTCCTCCAGAGCCCTGGGGACTCACTGGGTTAAGTTTGGGCAGCTAACTACAAGGTTGTCAATTCAAACCCACTAGCCACTCCAGGGGAGACAGATGAGGCAGTTTGCTCCTGTAAAGTCTGTTGTTGTTAAATCCATCAAGTTAGTTTAAACTCATAGTGACTCTGGGCAGCATTTCCAAGGAGCGGCTGGTGAGTTTGAACTGTTGTCCTTGAGGTTCAAACTGACCTTGCGGTCCAGTGCTTATCCTTGGAAGCCCTGTGGGGCAGTTCTACTGTGGTCTTCACAGACACTATGGGTCGGAATCCTCAGTTGACAGTGGGTTGGGTTGGGTTTTCTCAGCACCAGCCAGCGTCCTGGGACTCAGCCCATCTTCCTCACAGAGTTGTTGTGGATGTGGTAGATCTGGGGCTGTGTGGAACTGTGATGTCATCAGTGCGGCAGCTGAGATTCTGAGAGTCCCATCAGCTTTCTCTAATCCGGTTCTCTGTCGCTGGTCACAGGCACCGAAGAAGATGTCGTGAAGTCCAAGAAAACGTTCAGGAGCCAGGCGATCGTGAACCAGAACGCAGAGACGGAGCTTATGCTCGAAGGGGATGATGATGCGGTCAGTCTGCTGCAGGAGAAGGAGATGGACAACCTCGCAGGTAACCCTAACCCCGCCATGGTTGCCCTGTTTCCTGTGAGTGTCATGTGCATGTGTGTGTACGCCAGCATCCTGTGGTTGCCTTGTGAGTGTGACTCGTCCACTTGATCTCACGTCTCGGGCTGTGGGGAAGACCCCCAGCGAACTGTGAGTAGGGCTGGCTGAGTCGGCTCCCACTCAGAGACCCCAAAGCCACATCTTCTTTCTCCCGAGATGGTTCTAACCAGCAGCCTTCTGGTTTCCAGCTGAGTGCTTTAATCAGGGCTCGAAGCTGTCACTTGGAGAAAGATGCTGCAGTATGGCTATTTCTCATAGGTTACTGTTGGGGCCTGTCTCTGGGGCTCCCTGGGCTGTTCTCCTCAAGGAGCAGGTACACAGGTGGGAGGCAGGGTAGGATCAGAGCTGCTGGGACCCCTGGCCAACAGCCCTTCTGCCGCTGCCCCCTGGTCCTCTCCTGCTCAGGTACTGGTCAGTGAATGCAGGGCCAGAGGGAGCATAGTATATAAATGAACCCATTTCCTTAAAAATACAGAGAACGTGGTTTGAACTAAAATACACTGAATACTCTACATAAATGTGTATGCTTATTTACTGAGATTCTTCTAAAAGGTTGTCAAAACAGCATTTCCATTTATAACCTTACTTTTAGATGGTTTCCTTTGTATTAAGTTTATGAATGCTCATAATAGTTCGTTTGGGTTTTATTTAGCTGGTAAATGGCATTATTTTAGCACAGTTTCATTTCACTATTAGCTCTTTCTCATGTTCCCTCTATTTCCTTTGGTCTTTTGTCACTTTAATCAAGCTGGAATATTCCACACAGTTTCATAGCTGTAAACATCACCCAGTTTTCGGGTTCAGTTTTAGTTCCTTTCTTCCCAAGCTGTTCATCTCAAGAGGCAAGTTGAATGTGTGTGATTACTACTACATATTGTAGCAAATGGCTAATATGACTTGTAATCAAGACATTTGCCAATCAGTTAGGTAATTACTAAATAACACCTAGCTTTCTTCTAATTGCCTCGTGAGTTGGTCATGATTCAGCAAAGTGAATTAGCACCTAAGATTCCACGCAACTGAAAATTTCAGCTCACTATGTTCTTAATTTATAGTTATGTTCTTACTTAAGAGCACTGAGATTAATCAGGAGAATTCAATTGGTTTTAATCCCAAATCCCAGTCGTTGTCATTTGAAGTGTAGCTGAACTACCAGATCCAATGGATGTGAACTGCTAACGGAGATGGCAGCACTGTGTCCCAGCGCTGGAGGCCTTCATGTTTGGTGTGAAGTGTGCTTGCCCACGGATCCTAGAAATGTTTCACATGAAAGACTCGGAATTCACACAGATCCCTCACTGTGACTTCCAGCAGTTGGCTAATTTGGGGGATTCTGGTTAATGATGATGATGATTGTGTTTTATTACTTCAATTCTGAAAATTGGAGTAATTTTAATTTTTGTTGTTTCATGTATATATAAGCTATTATTGCCAACAGAGTCCTGGTGTGGTGCTATAGGTTAGGCACTGAACTGCTAACTGAAAGGTCAGTGGTTCAAACCCACTGGTCACTCCCTGGGAACCTAAACAAGGTTGCTCTGAGTTGGAACCAACTCAATGGCACTTAACAACAACAACAGTTAGTACGAACAAGCCACACATCCATTGACTATCCCCAACTAACATGGAATAGCCTTCCCAAGGTGCTCTCCCACCCAAGGTGCTCTCCCAACATCCCCTTCAGAAGCTCCACCCATGGCTGAGGCACATTTATAACCTGTTTTGAAGTGCTCCCTGCTCAATCCTCATGCCATTTTTACTGTACCAGTGTTCATGTGATATAATGCATATGCCGTACAGTCGACTCCTTTAATGTGCATGAGTCAGTGATTTTTTAGTATAGGGAGATCTCAGAAAGTTTGTAGGAAAATTCCATTCGCCTTTTGTTTGAGTTTTTTGAGAACTCTTTGATGCCTCTGGTATACAGGCTTCCCTGCAGTACTAACAAGATCTGTTTCTAACCAAGTCATTCAGAGTTTGTAGGTGCATAACTTTCTTATTTTGTCTTGCTTTAGTGCAAGAAAAGACTCGTAACCCTTATAATGCTTTCAAAGCTGCACATGCAGCAAGTGAAGATGATTGTGATGAAGAACTTGTTGCCAGTAGGGGTTTGTTGGTTGGTTATGTGCCGTGGAGTCAGTTCCTACTCACAGCGACCCTGCACAGGGTTTCCGAGGCTGTAAATCTTTATGGGAGCAGAAAGCCTCATCTTTCTCCTGTGGAACAGCTGGTAGTTTCGAACTGTTGACATTGCGGTTCGTAGCCCAATTCGTAACCACTACGCTACCAGAGCTCCTTGCCAGTAGGGATAGGTTCAGTCATATCAAAGGGAGAGCGGATTTACCTGTACTCAAGTAGGGCTTCAAAGATGGCCATGCCCCACTCAAAGATGGCTGCCGACCTCACTGCTTTGAATGTGTGTGACTCTCCCCAGCCCTGTGGATAACCTAGTCTTCCACATCAGGATGTCCCAAGTTTCCCATTCCAGGGTTTCATCATGTAATCTTTCCCGTTCTGGTTACCTTGGCAAATCACGAAATTGTAAACATCAGGATCTGTTTCTGTCTGACTTCATTAAAGGACAGAAGGAGTCATCCTCATCCAACTTTACTCAAACCAGCTGTGCAGCCATGACCCATCACAACCCATCTCAGAGCATCCCATGACTTCTGAAAGAAGCCTCACCAGCCGCTCCTCCCTCCACCCCCGCTGGCTCCCCACAAGCACTGACTCTATGGTTGGCCTCTTCTGAGCACTTCAGATAAATGGAATCCTGTAATATGTGGTCTTTTATGCCTGGCTTCTTTCACCTAACCTAATATTCTCAAGGCTCAACCATGTTGTAGCATGTATCAGTCATTCATTCCTTTTTATGGTCAACTAACATGTATTATGAAGTCCTGGTGCAGTGCTGTGGGCTAATGTGCTGGACAGCAAAGGTGTTTAAACCACAAGGTCGGGGATTCAGGCTCACCAGCCGCTCCTTGGAAAACCTATACAGGGTCGCTATGGGCTGGAAACAACTCAACAGCACTTAACAACAACACAAAATGTTATGAGAGATACCATATTTAGTTCATCTATGTCATCACTCATCTGTCAGTTTGTCATACGTGGTGGTTTGTGAGTTGCTGTGATTCTAGAAGCTATGCCACTGGTATTTTAAATACCCACAGGGTCACCCATGGTGGACAGGTTTCAGTTGAGCTTCCAGACGAAGACAGACTTGAAAGAAGGAATGACGAACTACTTCCGAATATTTAGTCACTGAAAACCTTATGGATAGCCAAGAAACACTGTCAGATATATGAGCCCCTTGGGTTTGAAGGCACTCAAAATGTGACTGAGGAAGAGCTGCCTCCTCAAAGTAGAGTTGATTGTGATGACGCGAATGGAGTAAAGCCCGCGGGACCTTCATTTGCTGAAGGGCACAACTAAATATGAAGAGAAACAACTGTAAACATCCATTGGAAATCAGAACATGAAATGTACAGAGTATGAATCTAGGAAAATTGGAAATTGTAAAAAAAAATGAAATGGAACACATAAACATCGATATCTTAGACATTAGTGAGCTGAATGGACTGGTATTGGCCATTTTGAATCTGACAACCACATGGTTTACTATGCCAGGAATGACAAAATGAAGAGGAATGGTGTTGCATTCATTGTCAAAAAAAACATATCCAGATCAGTCATGAGGTACAATGCTGTCTGTGATAGGATAATATTCATGCGCCTACAGGGAAGCCCAGTTAATATCACTGTTAATATTACTCAAATTTACACACCAACCACTAAAGCCAGTGAGGACAAAATAGAAGAATTCTACCAACTTCTTCAATCTGAAATTGATAAAACATGCAATCAAGATGTATTGATCATTGCTGGTGATTGGAATGCAAAGGTTGGGAATAAAGAGGAAGGATCAGTAGTTGGAAAATATTACCTTAGTGATAGAAATTATGTGGAGGCCACATGATAGAATTCTGCAAAACCAGTGATTTATTTCAATTACCTTTTTTAGACAGCATACGAGATGACTATACACATGGACCTCACCAGATGGAATACACAGAAATCAAATTCACTACATCTGTAGAAAGAGATGATGGAAAAGCTCCATATCATCATCCAAAACAAGGCCAGGGCAGATTGTGGAACAGTTGGTCATATGCAAATTCAAATTGAACCTGAAGAAAATGAAACCAAGTCCACGAGAACCAAAACATGACCTTGAATATATCCCACCTGAATTTAGAGATCATCTGAAGAACAGAAGACCGAAGACCACAAGAGTTGTGTGATGACATCAAGAACATCATACAGGAAGAAAGCAAAAAGTCATTGAGAAGACAAGAAAGAAAGCAAAGATCAAAATGGATGTCAGAAGAGACACTGAAACTTATTCTCCAGCCTAGAGATGCTAAAGCAAATGGAAGAAATGAGGAGTTTCAAGAGCTGAATGGAAAATTTCAAAGGTCAGCTCTAGAAGACAAAGTCATATATTACAGAGAAATGTGCCAAGATCTGGAGTCAGAAAACCAAAAGGGAAAAACACAGTCACCGTTTCTCAAGCTGGGGGAACTGAAGAAAAAAATTCAAGCCTCGACTTTCATTATTAAATGATTCTCTATGCAGATTATTTAATAGTGCAGAAAGCATCAAGAGAAGATGGAAGAAATACACAGGGACACTGTACCAAAAAGAAATGGTTGATGTTCAACTGTTTCAAGAGGTAACATATGATCCAAGGTGCATTAAAGGAATTGGCAAAGAACAGGGCACCAGGAATTGATGGAATGAAAATTGAAATCTTTTAAGAAAGTGAGGTAGCACTGGAGGCACTCACTCATCTCTGCCAAGAAATTTGGAAGACAACTATCTGACTGACTGATTGGAAGAGATCCATATTTGTGCCCATTCCAAAGAGGTGACCCAACG